TTCTCAGACCACTGTGAGTGCCCAATGTATAAGATTGGCCATCAGCAGAGGACAGGGAAAGGCCAGTGAAAGGATTTGGAGACTTTCCTGGGCACTCAAGAGAATCTGGTGGGAGTTTAAGACTGTCTTAGGCTGCTATAACAAAATATAATAGACTGTATAACTTATAAAGAGAAATTTATTGTTCACAGTTCTGGAGACTGGAAAGTCCAAGATCAAGGTGCCAGCAGATTGAGTATCTAGTGAGGGCTTGTTCTTTGTCTCATAGGTGGTGCCTTTTTGCTGCAACCTCACATCGTGTAAGGGGCAAACAGGCTCCCTTGGGCCTCTTTTATGAGGGCACCAATCCCATTTCTAGGGCTTTGCCTTCATGACCTAACACCTCCCAAAGGCTCCACTTCCTAAGACACAATGGCATGAAACAGCCACTTAAGTTTGCTTACATATGCCATGGTCAGGAATTCAAGGAGGATACAGCAAAGACAGTTGCTCCTGATTAGTGATGTGTGGGGCCTCAGCCAGGAAGGCTCAAAGCCTGATGGTGGCTCAATGGCCAGGACTGAAGTCAACTAGAGGTATCTTCACTCACATACCTGGCTGTTGACGTTCACTCTCACTAAAAAGGATGAGAAATACCCAGGATGGTCTGCCATCTGTAGAACACACAGACTGATGGCAGAGGGGACCAAAAAGGCTCTGCTGACCTTGCTCATACAGGGCACCAAGTTGAGGGCAGTCTAGTGGGATGGATGATCAAACGCAGACCCTACACGACCTTGACGTGCTGCATCCAAATGTTAAAACCTGACTGATGAACTGTCTTATTTTCTGGGACTCCCACCTTTTCTTAGTGGCAGCCTTTGATTCAACCAGAACATGATCTGAATGGTTTGGGACATAATTAGAAGAATGGGCATGAAAATTGTGGTGACTAGATCAGAGAATGTTATTGCTGAAAGGGATTTGGGCAACTATCTAAATCGGTGATTTTTAACATTTAAAAAAATGATCTTAACCTCTTTTTTCAAACAAAACACAAGGTCAAAGCCTGATAATGGAACTGATAAAAACCCAGCTGATTTGATCAAAGCAGGGGTGGGGTCCACAGCATCTACCCATTCAACTTCTTCCTGGACACCTGTGCGCAGAACCCAGTCAGGAACAAGCCAATCTACTCATTTAGGAAGGGCCTGAAGTAGAATTATTTAAATATGTATACATTTAAGAACAGAGCTGTTCTTCAGCTGACATTTCCATTTGCCCAAGTTTCACCACTGGCACCTCCCTCATCGGTTAGCCAGAACTTCCATATGGCTACCAATAAACGTGGGCTCTCTCCACTTGTCTGTTCATTTTTCTCAGATTGCTGAAGATATGCACATGGTCCTGGAATAGCCAAGGCATATAACTGCCGCATTATCTCTAAAGGAAACAACCAGGATGCAGGTGTAGAGCTCTAACTTTGGCAGATTTTTCTTTAGTTGTAGGAGGTGAACAAACCCTGATGGTTACTATGCATTAAGTGACAACTATGTGCCAGATGCATATTATTATTATCTCTAATCTTCCTATAGTCCTACAAGGTAGGTAATAGAAGCCCCATTCTGAGTGGAGAAAACAGATTTAGCATTGCCTAAGGTCAATTGCTAGTAAGTGAAAACTTGGATTTGAATTCATGTCTTTCTCCAAAACTTACTCTCATCAATGCCACAGTCAGTAGGTATGATATAATTGAAAAGTAATTGAAAAAAATTTTTTTAAAGCATTTATTGAAACATAATTGTTTGTACATATCTGTGGGGTTCAACGTTGACTATCCCTACCTGTGTGCTATGTGTGATTCTCAAATCAGGGTAATTAGTATATTCAGTGTTACACAATGTATCATTTTTAAGGAACAGTAATTTTAAGAGCAATTTGATTTATAGTAAGTTTAATATGTATGGTTTTTAAAGTTAATTTTTACTTTCAGAGATGGGTGTTATGCCTGAGATTGCTCAAGCTGTGGAAGAGATGGATTGGCTGTAAGTACATAAAGCTTAAATGCACCTGTGACAAGGATTTTAATAATTTAAACAGTTGTTAGTGATTTTATCAAATATTTTTGGGTCTAGTTGGGTAAGTGAAATTCAGTTTTTCTTGTGATTTTCTAAATTATGGAAAGATTCCTTTTTAATCTTGATATATTTCTAGCTGAAAAAGATTGGCTATATTTACCAAATAAATTTCTCTTTTAGGCTTATAAGTTTAACGTGACTTAATTAGCTTAGGTGATTTTTTTTTCCCCCTAAACTAAGTTTTTCAAATGTCATTCTTTCAGTCTTCCAACTGATATCCAGGCTGAATCTATCCCACTGATCCTAGGAGGAGGTGATGTACTGATGGTATGTTTAAATTTGATGAGGTGGTTAGAAGCTGGGGACACACAGTGCTGGGGCTGGCTGTAATCCACTTGAAGAACTCCATAGACTTAAAAGTGATATTTTTACCAAACTGATTTGATTTATTCACAAACATTTATGATACATATACAGTCATGTGACACATAGTGACGTTTCTGTCAATGACAGACCACACATGGGATGGTGGTCCTATGAGATTATAATGGAGCTTTAAAATTCCTATAGCCTAGTGACATCATTGTGCAACTACTTTTTTCTCATATAAATTTAGTGTAGCCTAAGTGTGCAGTGTTTATAAAGCCTGCAGAAGTGCACACCAATGTCCTAGGCCTTCACACTTACCACTCACTCACTGACTCATCAGAGCAACTTCCAGTCCTGAGAACTCCATTCATGGTAAGTGCCCTATGCAGGTGTACCACTCTTTGTCCTTTGTACCATATTTTTACTGTGCCTTTTCTATGTTTAGATATGTTTAGATACACAAATACTTAATATTATATTACAGCTGCCTACATTATTCAGTACAGTAACATGCTGTACAGGTTTTCAGCCTAGGAGCAATAGGCTGTATAAGGCCTAGGTGTGTAGTAGGCTATACCGTCTAGGTTTGTGTAAGTACATTCTACGATGACCACACAATGATGAAATTGTCTAATGGCACATTTCTTAGGACATATCCCTGTGGTTAAGTGACACATGACTGTATCAGGATTCCTTGCTATCACCTAAGTTTGGATTTAGATGTATCTGGTCATGTT